AAGATATGCCAAATGTAGCAAAAACACTTTTATAGTTGGAATGTGCTTCAACATCGTAAAGACCAACATTTTTTCAAAAGCAGCCCACACCCTTAATGACTAGTTTTTTTTTCCATTTTTCTTTGTATTCAATGGTTTTGCTAACAAGAACAGCACATCTTCAACTGACCAGAACTGAAACCAGACAAAAATAACATTGCTAAAAATAAGGGATTTACCCTGAGATTCATTCCTCAAAAAGGCATTAAACCTAAAAAGTTTTGTCCAGTAAAACACCTTAATGTCACACTGTAGAACTTTAAAAGCACTTAAATCATATTGACATAAAAATTATTTTAACTGACCAAATAACGCAGACAGACGAGAGAACAAGAGAATGCAAGAGAGAATATTCATATAGAACTGAAACTGCGATTAACTTTATTTGGTAATTATCAAATGTAATTCTGTGTATTTCTGTGGTTTTTCATCGGAGCATAGGTGTGAAAGTACACTGCAAACTGTACCAACCAGAGATTAAGCTGTCTCATTTGAATGGGTTCAACATGGACTGAGTGTTTGTTCAGTATATGTGCATCGACTGTATGAAAGGACTACTAAAAAACCAAAAGGCATATTTGATTTGCTTTTTTTGCTTTGAATGCTTAGAGGAAGCAAGTCAGCTCTACAGCCGATGTCAAAGAGCCTGGTTCCTTTGGTCTAGCTGACCTTTACCCACATTGCCTTTAACCCTGGCTCTGCAGCATGAGCTGAGAAATGTGGTTCTTTCTTTTCTTTAACAGAGGTCACTCTTTGTCTCGTTTTTGTCCAAGCTCATTGAATGCCAACACAAAGACTGCCATAAAAGCAGAGTGATTTGCTTCGGAAAGAGACCTGCCTGTTTGCTATCCATGAAAAGGCTTTGAATTGGGTGTAGGTTTGGTAAAGATCTGACTAGATGTTTAGATAAGATTGGTTTATTACCAATTAGGTGATTACTCAGCATAAAAAGATGGATTGATCATTTACAGGCAGCATTCAACCAGATAATTTCCTTAATATATCAGTTTCAATTGGACCTTTCCATGCTAACTTGAAATTAAAATCTCCTGCCCTTCAATCAGATTTAGGATGGAGGAAAACTCAAATTAGGTCATGATAAATAATGACCCTTCAAACTGAAAGTCAACACTTCAATCTTATAGTCATTGCTGCATTTCAAATCTCATATGCTAAATACAGAGTCAAAACAATAGAGAATGTATCACTGTCCAAACACTAAAGGCCTGCACTGTCTGTAACTGCTAGACAGACCTCCAAAAGCTTCCTGTTTGGCAACTGGTATTGTCTGGTGCTTTTTAGGCTGCAGATACCTACTCCCTCCTTGTTTCTTGGAGAGGCTAAACCTGTCATTCTCTTGTTTAACAGACTGTTTGTCCAGCTTGTGAGCACACTAGGGTTACCTACTTAGCACAGTGTAAATATCAATTATAACGCTGTAGATGTAGATTAGATTATTGGTACAGTAAAACCAGATGAAACTAATGGATGTACTGGGCAGATTTTTTCTTATCTTTTTCTTTGGCTAAAGGTTGTTTTATTTCTAGTAGTGTGATATTTGTATTATGATTCATTTACAGCATGACATGTTTTATATTTTCATGTCTTTGTTGTATGTACCATGATGAATGTAAATAGAAAGAGCATACATAAAATATTTACTTGAGCCTTAATTGCTTCCAGTAATCAGGGTATTGGTGACAACCTTGACAACCTGATTGTTGTTGGACACACTGCAATACCACCACAGAAATTAATGCATGAGCTTAGCATGAACAAGGATGCCAAAATTTTAAAGAAACTCACAGATTGTCACTTTTGATGACTCAAGTGATCTACAGTCTGTAGAAATACTAAGAAAGGTAGCTTTGCTGAAATTTCTTAGTTTCCTCCAGTGAGTTAATGAAAACCCAACCAGCATGGTTTCCATGCTTATCATAGCCAGGTTGTCCTTTTCCTGAAGCTGTCTACAAAAAAGACACACACACACACACACACACACACACACAGAGCTCCAAGTCTCTCTTTCACTTCACCTCTTTGACGCGAGGGCCTTTACGTTCCTGCGTTTCAGCAGCAGGCATCCAGTGACGTTGGTTGGTTTTTGTATGTCTCCTGTTCCAGGATTCAGTGACGCCAGTTTACAAGGCTGCTGTGATTCCCTCAATAGCCAAGCTTTCATAGTGAAAGACCTGGCAGTCAATGCAGCACAGTTTCAGCTATTCATCCCCGCTCACTGAGAAACTCGGCTCTATTGAAGCGTACATCCCTGTCTGTTCTCCCAGCTAAGCGCTACAACACAACCACTGGTCTGATTGGACTACATTTTTGCTATGGTTGAAGCATAAAAAGCCCCATCAGGGCCAGAGGCTTTAACATCTGGTAAATGAGAGTTCTTGCAGTGTCAAACAGCTGCCTAAAGACTAGACAAACCCTTTAAATGCTGAAGTCTCTGGGTCATCTAACCTTGATCATCAATTTAAGAACATTTATTAACCTTTTCACTTCCTCCCATTGTTGTATTCAGTCATTGATGAAAAGTGGAGCAGGGTAGCTTAGAGACATATTGGCTTTGGTCCTTGGTTGCACTTAAACTTGTTTCCTGGTCACATTCAGTATTGTCACTTACTGGTTGATCAGTGCTAAAGAGGTTCCTTTTTTTGCTTCTTTGTACAGTTTCTTTCTTACTGTAGACATGACATGGTTCTGTGTTCCAATATCGTGACATGATATGGTAGGCGTTTGTATTGCCAATTCATCTCAGTTTTAGAATCATTACAACCCTAATTGAAAGTAGTTCTCTTGAGATCCACTGTGAGTGTGATAACAGCTCCCTTGTCACCTCTTAGGACTGTTTCTCTTGTGGTTTTGACTGCTTCATGTGTCAAAGCTAAACTGTCCTTCAGTGCGCCCAATTGGATTCCATTTGCATTTCTCTGGTTTTTCATTAACTCAAAGGTTCTCTTGTTTGTGTTTAGCTTTCAAGTGTTGCCACTCCCTTGTTTCATATGCTGGACTATTAAATGAGTACTTTTACCTTAATTGAACATTCCCATGCATTTGATCATAAAACGTTTATATGGCTTACATATTCATTACAGCTTTGTTTGCCATTTATGATGACATTTATAGTAACATGTTTAAGAATGCACATCAGTGCTGCATACAGGTAGGCAGTAGTTCACAGGTTAATGATATAGACATGGCATTTAGTAGATTCCCCCAGTGTAAACAGCCAGTAAACATGTACTCAGAGTCCTCCTCTAACAGTCCAGCTGGTTCTTATTGATGCAAAAGGAGGACATGATCCCCCACTACCACTATGTGCTTTGTTTTACCTCTCAGCTCCTCCTCTTGCTTTTACTGCCCTCAGACTGCTAGCGGTGTGTTATCTGAGGCAGGGGAGAGCTGGCTGGATGCTGTTCTGTCCAGAAGCAGCAGTGAAAGGGAAAGTTAAAAGTGGTTGTAAACTACTATCAGGCCACTCATCACATTGCTTGCTGTGGCAATGCATTTTACCACTACAAGACTGAAGCCTTGTGGATGGCTCTTCACTTACACACAATGCAACAGGTGTGTGTGTCCTGTGCTTTTTTTTGCTCAACTTTCCTCTTTGCTGTGCACATTTATGGCACATAGCATCTGTCACAGTTGCTATGTGAGGGACAAACATGCATACACACACACACTGCACACTGTGACTGCAGTATTAGCGACTGGAGGAAATGAGGTTTCTATTGACAGTGGTGCGAAGTTCACATTGTTTCTATTGAGCTTCAAGCCGGCGTCTCCTCCTCTTTCCCAAATGAATATATAGAGCTCTCATTAGCTAGAACTGGGCAGTTGCATGCAGATTGCCCCCTCTGTACTTTTTGAACTATTTAATTTTCAATCTCAACATTTCCAGAAGAATTACAAGAGAATGTATTTATCAACCTCATGCAGCCCCTACCTCAGCTCCATTGTCCCTGCCTTTCTCCTCAGACTGTGGTGTCTCTGACTTGTACAATGTGATTACCAGGTCTTCTTGCAGCCCAGCCAAAGATCACTAATTGTTTGAAGAGATAAGGACAGTCTATATCCATTGTATATCCACACTGTGTTTTTACAGAGCCTTCCTGGCATCTTCTCTCAGACCCATGAGTGTAAATACAACACGGTCCCTCACACACAGAGGTATTGTTGATAGACAGAAATTAATGATAAATGGCTCATGTTGCAACATTTGTTTTATGTTTACAGTTCGTTTTTGGCCCTAAAGGTAAAAATGATGGGAACTCTGTTGGCGAGGTTATATTTGACTAGTTTACTTACTATAATGGATACAGTAATGGAGTTGTGGATAGCATAAATTCACACACAAGTCCACCTCGCTTTGGTTTGTGTGCCTTTTGTTACTGTAACCTCGGCTTTGGATCCGTCTTGTGTTTAAGTTCAGTTGAGGGGAGAATAATAGTGCTTTGTGTGGTTTGTTGCTTTATAGAAGTTCATCCCACAACACTATATTGTTCAGTGAATGGCACCAAAACAACTGCTCTCAGTAGCAGCGTGGCCCTTCATTATGGCTGCTTCTATGAAAGTTGTGACCAAAATGAGCCAGGACCCTGAGGTAAACAGATATAGGGTTTTCTGGATTGTGGAAATTATGGAGTTCAAGTATGCATAAGCATTTACTCATCAAGGGATCTGGATATTTATGTCTCGCTCTCACAATATTCACAGTGAGTCACATGAAGTGCCTGATCATGGTCTGCCATTTTTCATAAAAGCTCCTTTTAAAATTAGTAAAGACATATTTTTGCCATATATTTTGGAAACTTATTATAATATATTTTCTGTTGATTTTAATGTCTTAGCTTGGGCAGTGCTATCTTTGTTTGGTGTTAATATACCACTAAACTTTTGTTACAATTTTTTTTTCCCTGTCTTATTTTTCCTTTTCTTTCCCTCTACTCTTCTAGGTGCCTCCCAAGGAGTGGAGCTACCAACCTCACCGATCTGTTTTATCTTGAATCCTGGTGGGATCACTGATGATCTTTGTTGCTGCCCTCACCAACTCCTGTTTTGCTCCCGCTCTTCCTCCTTATCCCTCTCCTCCCCTTTCTTAAACTCCCCTCCCCTCCTCGCCTGTGTCTCCCAGCCCCGGGCTTATTACTCAAACCCACTGAAGGGAGCAACACAGTAGCTGGCAAAGGATGAAGCGGGTCTGCCTGCCAACACCAGACAGACGATAGAAGACACAAAAGGACCAGCGAAGGGGAGAGAAACAGAGAGGTCGACTAGTGGAGAGAGCTACAACGAAGCTGTGAGAGAAGCAACAACAACATTCAAGATGCCACACCGCAGGAAAAACACAAGTTTCACTTGAGCGTCATGAGCTAGCAAGGGGCCCCTAACAGATCTAGAACTGTGGACTTCTTCTGAACAAACGTTTGCCTCACACACACAGAAAAAGTTGTGGAGACACACACTCCTGCTCGCTGGGGCTCCTTATTAACACCTGGTATGCCTCTCTAAGAAGTGTTAGCCATGCCAGCCAAGGGGAAGTACCTGTTGAACGACCAGGAGCTAAAAAATGAGGCATTGTACCGTAAATTCTCCTGCATCAGCCAGTATCAGCCGCTGGTGCTCCTGCTGGGCCTGTCCATGCTCTCCTGTGGAATCCTCCTTATCCTCTTCTTTGCCCTTCAACTGGTGAGTCTTCATGTCCACATGTTTGTTTGTAATTGTGAGAAATGTACGCACTGTTTGAAATTTCACATTGGTCATTGGGTACTTTAGGTTATTCAGCAGACGCACTGGAAAAAAAAAAAAAGTCTGAGAATAACAGGATTTCACACTTGTCACTTTACTGTGTTTGGAGTCTTTTCTGTCCTTTGCTGACCTCTTAAATGTGACCAGTTTTATTACACAAACTGTTCAAACATTTTAACTATGTAACTGTGGATCAAAATCTCTGTGTGCTGGTAAATAACATTAACGGATCAGGAAGGAGTTGTGTGTAAATTTTGCGTTGCGTTTGAGTTGTCATGGATGCATTTACTGACATGGAAATGCACTTTGCCTATTTACTTTGTGTCCTTGCAGTACCCATGGTGCAAGGGTTGGAGGAATGGCACAAGCAGATGGTATTTGATACAAGACAAAGTTTTGTTTTTTGTGTGTTTCGAGCACATGGTCACTCAAATGAAACGCATATACAGAGAAATTAGTTATGTGGTTAAATTTTTTAATTCACTAGTGACTACACTGTTGTGCTTCCATCTTGGAGAAAGGCAATTGACTCTGACATTAGTGTTGTGCTTCTTATTGTGGAGTTGAATACGGGTTGATTTGTTGTGCACCATAGAATGGCTTGTAAATTGTAAAACTTGTAAGACTTGGTTTCAGACTGTGCTGTAGTACTAAACATCAGAAATCATTGCTGAAGTTGTGTCAGTGTTGAGTACTGTGCAGCAAATGTTTCATGTAACTTGACTTACACTGTATGGCTACAGTCATGTCTCCTGGAGCTTATAATATTGACAGTCTGTATGTCCACACCAGTCTTGGTAATTATAACCCAGATCATTGTTACATTGAGCAATAATTATCTGTTCTTCTCTCCCAGAGAATGCTGTATTTCTTTTGCAGCTAATTGATGGAAATATTTCAGATAAGTGAATATAAGACGCCATGACATGGTCAGCTTACCTATATCATTACCAATTAAGATGCTCTCGATAAGCAATGGAATAATCGTAAAAATTTGTTTCCGACTGGGAAAATTCACGTAAACATCAACACAAATCAGACCCGGAAACTCAGAGAAAGTTGTGGTACACAACCAAGTTGTGGCGTCATATACGCAGAAACATGGCAGATGAAAAGTAAAGGTTTGGTTAATGGTGAGAAACTTTTGATTAAAGGTGCAAATTCACGTATTGGATATCAATTTTTTGCTAACATTTCATTTGTAATATGGTATTAGGTTCTAACCCTTAGTTGCTGTCCACATACAGTTGCCCTAGATTAGTTAGACAAGTTATTCATTAGCAGTAACGCTGCTGCATGAAACATTTATTAACGCTCTGAGCAATAAAATACAGCACATTTTCTTTCCACTGTCTGGAGCGCATGAACACTACAAAGTCAGAAGAAGGACTTCTCAACTTGGGAAATGGGATGAACATAGTTACAGTGATGTACAGTTGGCTGCGTTATTAGGTACACCTGTACAGTCTAATGTAATACAACTGTATTGCCATAAAGTCTACTTCTATGTCTATAATGTTCAGTTTTTGTGATATTAATGAAATTGTATGTTTTAGTTACATATCTATAATATTCTGAACCCCCATGTGTGTAAGTGTGGGAGGAATAAAATTAGAAACACTTATAAACACTCGTTATATAGTAGTCCAGAACAACGAAGCCATGAAAGTCACCAAATCACCAAAAACTGAATGTGATGTGCTTTGTAAATATAGATGTCATGGCAGGGCCTTTATACTGGATTGCATTAGACTGCGCAGGTGCAGTAGCCTAATGTTTAATGAAGCAGGATGTGATTGGATGCTCAATTTGAATACCAAGATTGGCTGTGAAAATGTGAAAAAATGAAAAACTCTCTCCCTGGACAACGACTGAAATAAAGCACTTAACTCCCCTTCACTAACAGTGCAGCTGCTGAGAAGCGTGAATGAGTGAGTGATTGTGTAACTGTTTGAATGTGAAGGAGGACACTGCTGAAATAGACATGAAAATAGAGAACACATAATTCAGTTGCTTTCCCCGGATTAGATAAAGGGACAAGTTAGGATCGCCTCTATTGAAAAACATCAAGTACATGCTTAATAACGTTCATGATAGTTCTCTGTCAGGAAAGTGATTTCCTTTTCTTCACGGAGGGGTCAGAGGTCACGGTCAGTAGCCCTGCATCTCGTAGTGATTCAGTGTTACTCAAAAATTTTTCAACAGATTGGAGATGCTTGCTGACCTGTGGGTTTGAGCATGGGTCTATTCACCAACAAACAGCTTTCCTACTAAATACACTGCCGTGCTGCAGTTAAAAGCAAATCATCTTTATAGGCTTTGAACAGTAGAAAATGAATCAAGAAAGAAGTAAAACATAAAGTGTAAAGTGTGTAATCATGGTTCTGACAGTGAGGGAAAAGGGCATGTAGTCACTGTATTCTGCTGATCTGCGGCATGCTGTTGATTTTGGCATAATGGCAGGTAGCAGAGCAGTCAGTCAGTCCGGCTGTTCATATGGTGAACTGACAGCTTCTTTCACCGGAGATTATATTACTTTCCCCTGTTGGAAAAACTATCGTTACCTTCCTTCTATTGTGTTGCAGCTGACTCTCTGGAACACCCTGTTTCTCTTGTCTTTGTACTTGTACATAAAGATGTGAATTGTTTCACTCCCTCACATACTGCACATGTATGCATTGATTTAGTCTCATACACATATGAACACACATGCACAATTTTATGTTGTGCAAATTACTCTTTAATTTACATTGTGATACTAAAATTCAAAATTCACTCACACCCTATTATTTATCCCCGGACATACCATCACTCTCTCCTTCTATTCCTCCTTTCCTCTTTCTTTTCAGCTGTCTCTCTCGCACACATAGTTGCCGGGGGTGCAGAGGAGTTAAGAGGGAAATGTTGGGATGGAGCTTGTATAACGCTATTGTTAAATGCAAAGGAGGGGCAGGGTGCCTGTTGGGAGGTGGCTACCGGTGTCAGAAAGTCACTGTCAACTTATATAACTCCTCTCCAATTGTGGCTATCGAATGAAGAGTGATGCTGAGAGGAAAACTGGGTGAGCTGATGTTCGAAGTGCCACTCGTACCACTGGTCTGATTGGATAGAGAAATGATTAAGCAGGATGTTGTTTGGGTTATTTGAATTTATCTGAATATAATGGGTCTATATGTTTGTAAAAGCTGTGGAGGACGATTGTCAAGTATATATGTCTTATAAGATGTCAGTGTCACTCTTTAATTTTTCAGCCATTGTGGCTGTGACCCCTGCCTTTGTTGTCTATAATTGCTTCTAATTGTGATGATCTGGTAGTTGGGACATTCTTCATTGTTGAACTTATTGTATGATAACATAATATACATTTATTTTTCAGTTGTCTGTTTAGTAATAAATAACATGAATACATTGTTTGAAGGTATCGAAACTTGCCCTGGTGACCACACTGCAGCAATATATGGGAGTGCTCTCAGACTTTTGCACCCCACTGTATCTTACAGGATCATTTGTACATGTAGTGTAGAGTAATATAAATATTAATCTGTATCTAAATAGATAAAGCTTTCTATCAGTAAGAACCTGCAGAGATTACATTACATGTAGGACGCCATGCGCTGAACATTTTAGCTGTATCTGTTCATGTGGTTTTAGTTCCTATTCGTATAGAATAATTGTTCTTTTTCCGCCCACAAAAAGGTTTTGTCAAGACTCACAGCTACATAGGGAGTAGAAAGTGCTGTAATTGAGATCTGGCCTTTTCCAATGCTGCCATGGTAACCAGAAAGCTCAACATACAATGCAGAGATGGCCTTCTCTGAGCAGAGATCTATTAACACTGACTTTGTGTGTCTGTCTCACTCTTGAGCACTCTTTTAACCCCTTGTTTTCTCTAATGCTCTCCCTCTGACACCCACTCTCTCTCTCACTTATACCAAGACAATGACACACATGTGCATACATGCATTTACACACACAACACATCAGAGGCGGACTGAAACAATAATTCAGGCTGGAAATTTGGCTCCATCCCACTCTGTTCATGCAAACCACCAGACTGCTAATTTTGTAGGCAAACCCTGTTTCTTGACAGGGTAGGTATAGATTTAGCTACTATGTTCATCTGGGAGAATTACAAAATACAAAAATTCAGGACTAACCACCAACAAATATATTCAAATCTTATCTTTATCATTTATTATACCATTTTAGGAATTGCATGTTATTAAAAGAGGAAATGATCCACACCCTCGGGAAATGTCCCGGTGCTCCCGATGGGCTGTTAGTCACAGCAACACACAGATATTCACACACACTCAGAAACATGTTTCTTCGCATATATGTCTTTTTTTCCTCTTGCTTGCCTCTCACTGTACAGTAACTCAGTCAGGAAGGGGGTGGCCTGGAGCAAGCAGGACATGACGCAGAGACAGATGTGAAATAAAAAAACTCTGTAATCCTACATAAGCCTCAATGCTCAGACTTAATATCAATGTCTCTCAGGAGCATCTTATACTGATTGTAAACCTCATTTTTAACTGTAGATTACCAATTCACCAGTCAGACACACAAACAATGAACTGCTGAATAAATCAAATAAGGAAGTGGACAAAAACATGTGGTCATGTTTAAGGTGGGAGCTTGTAGTGTTGTAAGGCAAATATCCCATAAACTATTTCAGTCAGTGTTGGTGATATTTGAAACAACCCCACCTGACACATTACATAATTTTTCAATTTCTGCACTTCATGCAACAACTGCGTGGTCTCTGTCCCCTTTGCAGGTTCCCTAATGTTTTAAAAACTACTATATAAAAGTGCATATACTAGTAATTGTAATATGACTATAAAATGCCATTGCATGAGTTGTATACACTGCAAATGTATTTAAACTGTTAACTACATTCACAGCAAACAATTTCGTATCACAGTATGACTGTAATAAAATATGTGTTTATTTTTCTCCTTCTCCGTGGCTGCTGGAGCAGAGTGCAAAGGACCACTGTGCCTTTGTGAGTGTGGTAAGCGGCAGCCTGTGTGTGTTCCTGGCCGTGTTTGTGCTGGTGTGTACAGAGATACTCTCACAGCGATGGAGGCGTCTACTGGGCCTGATTGTCTGGGCCACACATCTCACCATGGGCTACACCTTCATCTTCCGCAGCCCCATTATCCTGCCTTGGGACCAGGTAACCTGACTTCCCAGCAGGGTTACTTTTTTTTTTTTTACTTTTACTTTATCCTAGAATCATTGTTCAAGTTACGTTAGATGTCTGACCACACTTTTAGGATACCAGATTTCTCAGAATGAGTGAATGAACACAGCACTTATTAGAATTAGAGTTAAATCCTGGCACCGAAGACTTCTTGAAATAACAAAACCTTTATGTTTCCAGGTGCCTTTCTTTCTCTTCATCATCTTCACTGTGTACACCATGCTGCCATTCCAGTTGTGGTACGCTGTGGTGCTGAGTGTCATCTCCTTCCTGTCCCACATTATGGCCCTCACAGTGCGCCTCACCATTTACAGGACTGAGCACAATCCTCACCTTGCTTACCAGGTGAAATCATTTGCATTAGATATCTATCATTATGTTTAAGAAATACTTAAATGTTTATATATCAGTCTGCAGCTGTTCCCTGTATTGGAGGAGTGTGTTAAAGGCTTCAAGTGAACATAGGTTATTTAAGGTCAATATTGTTATTTCTGTTTTGAGGCTGCTGCTGACCTTTTTGTTGCAATATTTATCATAATTGAATTTATCCCAAAAATTTGGAGAATGTAGAAATCCTCCAACAACAATGAGACTAGACAACGAACATGATCCCAACTGTGGAAGAGAAATAAATAAAACACAAAAAGTGATATTAAACAATAACATTGTATATAAGTCCATACTGTATATTTGTCTAATTTGTATTTGTACTTTCAACATAATACTCAGAAATATGATAGCTCTAACATTGTCTTCTGTGTCTCTTTCTGTAGCTTCTGTCCAATCTAGTGATATTTCTGTGTGGCAGTGTGGTGGGAGCCTTTCATAAGGTCCTGATGGAGAAAACCTTAAGGCAGACCTTCCAAGACACCCTTAGGTGCCTGAGCATGCGGATGAAGCTGGAGATAGAAAAAAGACAACAGGTTAGTGCAATACACTGGCTTTCAAAGACTGGTTCATAGAATAGCTACACTCTTTCTGAAGAACAGACCATTGAAACTGAAAGCCTGGGTTAGTTTCCAAAGTAATTCGAAGTGTGTCCACTTAAAGCGACACTGGTTAAATATGGGATCATTTGTATAATGCTTAAAGGAGCTATTTGTGAGTTTTGCTATTGCTACATAGCCAGTGTTGGCATTAACAGCTATATACTTACCGGTCTAGAGGAAACATTTTGAGTTCAGCATCAAACTTCATTCGTTTACTTGCCAAGAGCTGTCTCCAGCGGGGGAAAGCAACACCAATGTTAACTCTTGTCTCTGTCAAATCTTTTCTTCTACTTAAGTGAGCATGCTAAACAGCTAGCACTAGCCCATCTCGTCACAAGAAACCACGTTCGGTGGCAGAGCAAACTTACAGATAGCCCCATTAAGAATAGTTTAAACATAACATAGGATATAGAAAAATAAACAATTTTGTTGGATTATTATATAAATATTTGTAAAAAAAATTACCTTTTGCTCATTTTCGTCTCTCAACACATTTGGTTGAATAAGGCACACACTACATTCACATGTACCTTCATTAAGAAGTGATCCATTATAGAATCTTGAAGAGCGAAACACCAATGCTTTTATCCAAAGTGTATGCCAAATGAGGGACAACATTACAGTTTCAGTGCAGTAGGAGACCTTGGTGCAAGTACTAAGTACTTCATCTGTTCAATAAGTGCAAGGAGGTGAGGTAAAGAAGTGCACCAAAAGTGCATAGTAAGTGCTAGTTAGGCATTTTAGGGTGTTGGAGGTTAATTAAAAAAATATGATGGCATACCACCATTTTATTGGAGTGAAATGAAAAGTGCAGTGTATATTCTAAGCCAGTCATGATGAGCAGTACAACACCACTATTTTACTTCATCATCTGTATTTTACTAAACTCAACTCTTCACTGAATGGAAACGAACATTACAGGCAAATGATGAAAATGGCTTATCAGTAATTGTTATTGCCATGCCTTATAATTTTATTTTATCTTTAAGCTTTGCCTTTGGCTGGCCTCATGTTGACTCTCCCATGAATGTTTTCATTGCAACTAACAAATCCTTCTCAAATTAGATTTTCCTGTGATGCCTTTTAAATTAGATGCATCTGTGCTGACTTGCTTCGACTTCAGAAGCCATTTTTAAAACAAATGTTTCCCTTCTGTCAAATTGTTATGACTGTTGCTTAGTACGGGACATAAAACAAGCTGACAAGGAAGCTGCTGTGTTGCCTAGCAGGACAGAGAGGAATGATATAATCGTTAACATTTGAACCTCCTGTTGTATTTGAATTGTGACTGAAAAAGGGAGCCTGGTTCACAAAGTTAGTGAAAGAGAACAGGGACATAATAGCATGGTGGGGGTAGCTCCAAAACTGTTCCAAATGGGGAGCCAATGAGAAACTCTCATTGTGTTCCCACATTAATTTCAGCAGGAGCGGTCAGTGTCTCCCCCCGCCCCCCCCGAAATGATTCTTGGCAGAGTGCGAACGACGTCAAAAATGGCATTTAAACTGTGTGACGTTAACACTCCCCTTTGAAACCAGCACTAATTAAATTCTCTGAAATTGACCTCTTCTCCTTTCTGTCACTGCATGTGTGTAGTGACAACAACTAAGTTATCTCATATTCAGAATAGATAACATATGCAGCAGCGCTGTATTATGCAACACATCCTACATATGCACACCATCATCTATACAAAGGCCGCTTTATGAGAGGTGTTCATGTTTCAGTCTCAGTGGTAAACTAAAGGGTCATTTGAACCCTGTAAGAGGTCAGTCAGACTGAATGGGAGCAGTTTAGGCTGCAGCACAGAGACGGACAGAAACACACATACCAAATATACATTGCCTTAGGTGAGTAGTTAACCCTCTTGACCTCTCCCACATGTTGTGTTGTCATAGCCGGAATCAAAAAATGATTAAGTTTTGATTATTTTGTTTTTGGTTTACATACAATAACTTTTGAACTATTTTTTTTTTTTTTTTTTAATTAATCAAAAGGGAAAACTTTGAAAGTTTGGAATCAAAACATATTTATCTCTTTGCAATAACATTCCAAATTAAGTTAAGGTGCAATTTCATTCTTTCGAGTCCTTGAGATGTCTTTATAGCCTGGAGAGTGTTCGGAAAAACTCCAGGGAAATAAAAGGCTTGTGACATCACACTTGGCTTTTACAAAAAGCCACATGGAAAATTCTGACATGTTAGGGCAAAAGGTGCTGTGACCTGAAGAACAAGAAGAAGAAGAAGAAGAAGAAGAAGATGAAAAGTAAGAAATTAATCCAAATGCGTGTTGTAATGCAAAGCACTTGTCAGACCAAAACTGGGCACAAGTCACTTGCCATATAACACCCCTTACATACCATGAAGTGTCGTCGTGGTAGCATCATGCCATTGGGGTCAAGGTATTTTCAGCTCTATTGACTTGCAGAAGAAAATAGAAAGATCCATGAGTAGAGCAAGTCACAGGAGATTCTTCAGGAGTTATTTCTAGTATATTAGATTGAGAAGAATATCTGTGCTCCAAAAGGACAATGACCTTAGTATACAACCAAATGAACACTGGAATGGCTTCGAAACAAGAATGTGAATGTCCTTAGGTTGCCCAGCTGGGGCCCTAATCCAAATCCCTTTCAAAATCTGTGTAATGAATAGACTGTTCACACAAACTCTCCTCATCCCACCTGACCCATTCTAAGCAAATATGTAATGAAGAGTAAGAAAAAAAAGATAAAATACAGACTCACATGGTTGTATACTTGAATATCTGTTAAAATGAGAAATGTATATTTCATATTTCAAGGACAAAACATTAACTTTTGTCAGGAAAAAATCAGTGTAATACATCTGAATTCCACTTTGAAACACTTTGCGACTCTACAAAAAGTGGAAAAGTTTAAAGGTGAATACTGAAGCAGTGTATTTTCACAAATCACAAAGTGCTACTGTATTCATACACACACACAAACATCTCTCTCTCACAGGCAAACACATTGGCACACACACAAACTTTGCTCAGGGTTCATATCTTTAGATTTGTTCTCTCATGCATTCACCTCTATTTACATCCACTTGTGCTCTCCAAAGCACTTTGTGCTGACTGAATTAAGTAAAGAGTGTTTTGTAGATAAATTTACCAAGCCTCTACTCAGCCAGTGTAGTCAGATGATCTAACCTAACCCCTCTGATGGAGGGATTAATCATTTCCTGAAAAGTTGCCTCTTCAGATTCCTGTCTTAATCAAGCCATTGAACTTTGAACACTTCTCAGGCCTCTGGCTATTCTGGCAAATCAACCTCAATGTGTCATTTTGCATGGCATTTAAGTATTACACCATATCTACACTGGCACATTCTAGAATATTCTTCCTTTTCGTCATGTTATTATTTGGCTATGATGGCAGCATGGTCATGGTGTTTGGATTCACTGTATTTGGCACCAGTTCATGTTTAAACCTGTATGGACATGCTGGGTTCTTTATAAACCACACCTGCTCTGAATTCCAATTAACAACTTCAGGGTGTGGGGACAATAGGCTACTGCAATATTATTAGGGCTTGTACAGGTAGAGATTGGTGCTAGTACTGTAGTGTAACTACAACTGCAGCATAGAGGAAGAGATGGGCACAGAAGAAATTAAAAAAAAAAACTCAAATTCCTTCAATATTAAGGTTGAGTGAAAAATGTAAAAGTCCATCACTGGATATTAAAGAATGAGATGTTGATGAGGTGGGTCTGGGAGTCTGAGCCTGTGATCGTGTTTGTGTTTGTGTTTGTGTGTGTGCACTCTGGCTGTTCCCAGGTAGACCTTTTTTCATTTCGGGGCTTTACCACTCATCACTGTACTTCGAGTCCAAACGTCAGATAAGCTTAATTTCCTGGCTCACCTAAATTGCATTTATGTAACTAATTCTGTGTGTGTGTGTGTGTGTGTGTGTGTGTGTGTGTGTGTGTGTGTGTGTGTGTGTGTGTGTGTGTGGTGTATGTGTTTGCAGGAGAACCTGCTGCAGTCTGTGCTGCCAGTCTATATCTCCATGAAGATGAAGCTGGCAATCATGGAGCGCTTGCAAGACTGTAAAGACAAAGCAGAGCAACAGCGACTGGTCAAAGACAATAACTTCCACAGCCTTTATGTCAAGAGGCATGAGAACGTAAGGTACGACTACCAACCACCTTGAAAATAGCCATACATTTTTGGATTTATTGATAATTGATAAAGATCACCACATAAGATAAGATAAGATATTTCTTTATTAGTCCCACAGTGGGGAAATTTGCAGTATTACAGCAGCAAAGTAACAACACAAGAAAGAAAAAACTGTAAAAAGTCAGTACCAAGTATTAAAAAAATGAATAATATAATGATACAATATGTACATCATGGAAGCCTTATTTTGCTGGTCAAACCATGCACTTAGATTGAGATGATTAAACAACCCATCTTATTGATCAGGCATCAAGATCTTTTGGGGGCATTCAGATGTCGCTGTACATACGATTTTTTGTAAAGTATAAATGTACCTATAGAAGTATGTTGACTATCCTGTCTGAGAACAAGTATCTTCAGCCTCAACCTGCTCTGCTTACAGTTGTTAACAGGAGACGGGTTCACTGACTAAATCAAAGACTACATTTTTGAAAACTTGTAAGAAATCACTTGACTTATGACTTCTGAAAAAATAAATCAGTATTTTTATGTTTTAAGCTTGCTATACTTTGATATTTCAAAACTAAAAACAGCTGAATTCTCAAATCAAACTAATTTGATTTCCCGCTCTTGTTTACTTCGTCCCTGTTTTCAATTCTTACTCTGGGAAACTTGTATTGCTACTTTCTCTATGCACATCACTTCATAAAAAACAAACGAGCCATAAAAAGTGCAAACAAAAAGCAGATTTTTCTGACCACATCTCCTAACGCTGGAGATTAGTATGCCTGTTTGTTTTCAGAGCGTTGACCCAGTTACAGATCTTTGTTTCATGAGGGTTTCATTAATTTAGCAAGTGCTGACAGATAGTGGGTCAGCTCAAACTGAACTTTGGCAGATGGCTCATCAGTTTTGTGGGGTTTTTTGTATTTTTTTGTTTTTTGGATAAATGTAGGCAGGATACAGTCTCTGCTTTACCTGAATAAGGGAAATGCATAATACTGCGCAGTAAGACTACGCTGGAAACATACTTTTATTTATATATTATCACATAGAGCAGAAAGACAGAAAATAAATGGACTACTAATATCTACCCTCTGTTTATTAAAGTTCTTTTGTCTGAATTAATCTTTAGACAATAGACTTTTGGTCTATGCTAATTAACAGGTTATTGTGAAGGCATCGGTTGCTGCCATGTTTATTTAAAGCTAGAGTAAGAAGGTGTTGAATGATAGGCTCCATCTTTGACCTATCCCTGTAATTACCTCAGTTGGACCAGTCATTAGCTGTGTTGTCGAGCACCTGGCCGTTTTCAGTCAGGGAGCAGTTTGGGTTAGGTGTAGTATCTTTGTCCCCTCTGCTGGCCAGCTGACTAGCAGTTGTACTCAGACCAGGCTGCTGTGGTAGTGCTAGCAGTTGGCCTAAGCTACATGTGGTGTAGCTTATTACCAGTTAAATTCATGCAGTGGCCTACATGTAGTGCTCTGGGGATAGTTCTGTGACACACATACATCTACGGATATTTGTTGTGTCTCTTGTCTGAGCTTGTTTTGAATATTTATGTATACAGTCAGGGTATACTTGGATTTAGCTCATAGCTCCATTAGTTTGTTGAGAAAATTATGAGGCGACATGGAGTTTACATTACATTTCCTATCATGCTGTAATTTACGTGCACTGCATTCATCACACAATTGTTGACGTGCCCTGAGGATCAGTGCAGTGAGCATGGTGTTCAGGGAGGGTTAGAATTTCAGTTCCTACTGTAGCCAGCCATGCTAAGGCAGGGACTCTGGTTCTGTGTGTGGATTGGGTTTTTGCCAAACTTCCAGCTGTTTTTTCCTTGTAGTGTCAGGGTCTTTCAGAGGACAGATGAGATATCATTGTCCCTCTGCGGTTCGCTCACCAGCAGCCTTAATGATCCCTAAGCTATGAATGAGCATTGAACCAGACAGGCTGTCAGTGATCAGGTCCACTGGAGGTTAATGGGAGGTGAGCCAGGTGCTTTTTGCCTGAAAACCTGCTTCTTATTCTGGAGTTGTAATGTTCATAATTTGTTATTATGTACCGACAAAGCTGTGCAGAGAAATGCAGCTTTTTTTTCTTTTTGTTTTAGCCCAAATTTTGAGGACACATATGGTGTGAGCCAAGTGTCCTCCTGTCTATTCCAAACTGGTCAGTTGTTGACCTGTGCATTCAGATGGTCCTTGTCATTTTCCAAAGTTTATTCACTGATTGAAAAAACAACTTTATGGAATGATGGAAGTGAGGGATGATTTTCCAACAACTTTGGAGCCTGGACATGTGAATCACAAAGCATTATCAGTAAACACAGGTTGCATGGATATATATTGCTACTGCTTACCAGCTGTCGATCATGTTGAACTCAAACCCGTGAGGTGTCATTTGGGGTGAGGTGCAGAGTTAGCTAATCCTGCTACTCTACTCTCCCCAATTTCTACAGTTAAAATAAGTTCATATATTCCATTTTAGTGTTGTGAAAAGTTGTTACTGTTAATGTTATATGATGCAGACTTTAGTTATTGGATGTTTTTACAGGTCAGAACAGACACTTCTGTTTGTGTGCATGCATTAAACTTTTACCGATTGTACCATTTCTTTCTCTCAGTATTCTCTATGCCGACATTGTTGGCTTCACCCGGTTGGCCAGTGACTGTTCACCCAAGGAGCTAGTCATCATGCTCAATGAATTGTTTGGAAAATTTGACCAAATTGCCAAGGTGAGTTGTTTGGAGTTTCTTTTTGTGGTTATTACAGATAACACTGATCTTGGCATGACCAAGGCACTTCAGTCTAAACAGTGCAAGACTGTGGATGGATCAGGAAGTGTACACTCATATCCTGTCTACCTGTTTACCCACATTTGCAGCCTTGTTGCGTACAACTGTGCTTTTTGTTTTCTCCTCTCTTCATTCTCATTCTTTATAGGAAAACGAATGCATGAGAATCAAGATCCTTGGAGATTGCTACTACTGTGTGTCAGGGCTGCCGGTCTCTCTTCCCAAACATGCCAAGAACTGCGTGAAAATGGGCCTCGATATGTGTGAAGCCATCAAGTGAGTTTGTGCCAACCATCACCGTCAGCCTGTGAATTATGTAAATAGTATGTGTTAAAGCTGATTTGTGGAACCTCTTATATAACTTATGTTATTCTGTAAGGGTGGACTGTACGGTGAGTCATTCGCAGTCATGTTTTCTAGTTTAGGGAAACACAGTTTGTCTTGTACAATAAAACCTAGAATTGCACATGATGAAAATGACTCGCCATTTTTAAGTAGGAAAGTGTGAGGTAATTCTTACTTGGCTCTTGTGGATGATGGTTTTAACCAGGTATTTAGCTGTTGACACACAGAAGCAGATAACAGGACTTCACTTAGACACATATGGAAAGGACATTGGAGCATATTGTAATGTCGTCTTCAGACTATTAATGTCCCTTGAAAGACTGTGGTTAGCATATGGAAACAATTTTCACCAACAATGAGCTTGAGGATTGCTGTGAATCTCTTTCAGGCAGGTACGTGAGGCCACAGGAGTGGATATCAACATGAGAGTGGGTGTGCATTCGGGCAACGTGCTCTGCGGTGTTATTGGCCTTCGCAAGTGGCAGTTTGATGTGTGGTCACATGATGTCACTCTGGCCAATCACATGGAGTCGGGAGGCCTTCCAGGGTAGGTGGTACAGTGTTACTTTTGTGTCATAACCCTTTATACACATATTGCCTTACACATGTTAAGGTTGCTGAGGCTGATGCAACCTTACTGTTAACAAGAAACATCAAAGCCACACATGTCATTCCTTACTACACGGTTGATGATAACATATGTTATTTCATAGACCTTTAATTTAATTGTTTGTTTACTTCTATCTTCTCTAAAGATTTTCAATTAACAAGTTTATATTTGTTGTTAGGTGATAATCATTTTGTAACTTTCCCACTTTGTTCTATGTTGTGATTAAACAAATTACATGAAGAATAGAAATAAATGTCTTACATATGCCATGCCAATTTTTATTCCATTGTTTCTCCTGCTCTTCACTCTGAAAGACGTGTCCACATCACAGAGGCGACTCTGAAGCACCTGAACAAGGCTTATGAAGTGGAAGAGGGTAATGGCAACATCAGGGACCCCTACCTAAAAGAGCTCAATGTCCAAACCTACCTGGTCATCGATCCACGGGTGAGTTCTCTAGTCCAGCTACCTTGAAAATGCACAGTGTGAGGGAAAGAGTGAGAAATATGTAGCTTTTGAAAACACCTGCTGTTATGAATAATTGCTTGTATGATGATCAAGTATGTTAACAGAAAAATAATTGTGTAAATCATTTTAATCATTACATTTTTTGAGTACATACTCATTTGTGTTTTTGATTTTATTTATTGATTTTATTTTTTGACCTGGTGCCGCTTTCTGTTTCTCAAACATCCGGTGTCTTGTTTGTGTTGTAGTCCAAATGCTATGGCATGCGTGGCTGATATTTTTACCATAATATAGTTGCTGGTCATTTTCAAAATAAATATTTTGGTATAAGCTGTGCCTCTTACTGCAAAAAATAGATTTGATAGAAATTAATGTGGGCACGGCCTACTTGAAGTTAACTGGCCAAATTCATACGTACATTGTGCAATTGCAACCAAATTTAGGTGACCCATGCACATTCCAACTCTCTCCTGAAGAGTTAGAAGAACATACTCACTCTGATTTCTGTGCCTTATAGCTTCAGCTGAATGGCTACAGTAAACACAGTATGATTCGTCTTTGTGTGTCTTAAGTCGAAGGACCCGTCACTGAACCCCCGTAGCATGCCTAAACCTCGTGTGAATGATGGCCTGAAGATGCGGGCGTCTGTGCGTATGACCCGTTACCTGGAATCCTGGGGGGCCGTCAAACCTTTTGCCCACCTCCAGAGCCGAGAGGGCTTCACCACAGACTCCAATGGAAAGTCACACTGCAAGGTTAGCAAATTGTGTATTTATTGTTAAATTGAAAGGCAACGTAAAATATAGTATAAAAATTAAAAGGACAGTCTCTCTGTGCTAATTAATTTTTGTCGGTGAATATGTTGCTGCACTATGCCTCCACACATGATGGAAAAAAGTTCCTGCTGGATGATAAAGGCACTGGTCTTAAAGTTTTAATTGATGTTCTGGTTTTGAATTTATCCAACATTTTTATTACTTGTATAAAAGATGTGTGAACCATCTTTTCCAGGACATTCCCCTTCGACCAGCCCCCGGCTCCAAGATCACTGAGAGGTAAGACACGTCTCAGCTGTTTCAGAACCTACACATTAAATTCACATGTTAAGTCCCTATTTGGTAACTGTTTTTATTTCCAAGGTGTGTTATACTGTAACAGAATGAACGTGAAACTTGGCATGTATAAAGAGACAGAATGTGCTCACACATAATCACCCTGGAACTCAGCCTGTGTAATAACCCTGTTGCTCAATAGCATCTTGATGGCCATGGCTTGAGCAGGGAAGAGTGTCTCCCATCATCTTGCTCTGCCAAGATTTTTCCATCTGTTCAAATAATCTGATCCAGTCATCTTTCCATCACATTTTATTTGATAATATTGTGTAATACAGTATATCAAAACATTTATTGGGATAATTTCATTAGCTATTCAGCTATTCAGATTATGATAATGTATAAGATGTATGTGTTCCATGGAAGAGGAGAAATGTCCATATGATGCCACTAGTTGGTAAACTTTATGGTGGTAATCAGGGTTTAAGAATAACTTGTTGAGATTTTCCTTTTGGCTTGCACTTTCTTGCACTTTTTCTATTCGTGGACGCATAATCAACATTTTAATCGTGAAGTATACGGTTGGTGATCTTATCTGGAATCATTTACAGTAAAAATCCAGGCAGGATGTTTGGTGTCTCTTACTTACTTTTAGACATAATGTGTAGGTGTATGTAATAAACCATCTCCACCAGCTACTGTATGCAAATATCAGATGGTAGAGAAGGGAAATGAGAAAATTACTATATAACCTAAAAGTCTGAGTGGTGACCGTTGATATAGATCCTTAAACTCCATATTCATGAGATTTAAGGCTTACAGCCTCTATGAACAAACCCAGGGATGGGTAAAAATTTGCACCAACAGGCTATTAATTATCATTGATCAATGCAAGACTTAATGATCAGCATTAGCCAATCACCAAGCACTTTATTGCCTGTACACTTGCTTATTCATTCAGTTATCCAATAAGCCAAGCATGTGGCAGTAGTGCAGTACATAAAATCATGTAGATACAGGTCAGGAGCTTCAGTTAACGTTCACATCAAACATCAGAATTAGGGAAAATGTGATCTCAGTAACTTGGACCCTGGCATGATTCTTAATGCCAGACTGGTTTGAGTATTTCTGAAATTGTTGATATGGGATTTTTATACACAACAGTCTCTAGAGTGGTGTGAAAAGCTTAAAACATCCAGTGAGAAGCAGTTCTGTGAACGGAAATGCCTTGTTGATGAGAGAGGTCAGAGAAGATTGACCAGACTGGTTGGAGCTGATTGAAAATCTATGGTAACTGTTTACAACTGTGGTGAGCAGAAAAGCATCACAGAATGCACAATACATTCAACCTTGAGGTGGATGAGCTACAACAGCAGAAGACCACGTCAGGTTCCTCTCCTGTCAGACAGGAACAGAAATCTGAGACTGCAGTGGGCACAGACGCACCAAAACTGGACAGTTGAAAAATTTAGCCAGGTCTGATGAATCTGGATTTCTGAACAGCAGCAGCATGAACAGCATGAATACATGAGCCCAACCTGCCTTGTGACAACAGTCCAGGCTGGTAGTGGTATTGTAATGGTGTTAAGAATATTTTCTTGGCACACTTTAGGGCCCTTAATACCAATCAATCATAGTTTGAATGCTCCAGCCTATCTGAGTATTGTTGTTGACCATGTGCATCCCTTTATGGCCACAATTAACCATCTTCTAATGGCTGCTTTCAGCATGATAATGCACCATGTCACAAAGCAAAAGTAATCTCAAACAAGTTCCGTGGACATAACAATGTTCATGAAACCTTTAGGAAGTGGTAGTGGTAGAACAGCTGATTGGCAGCATGAACGTGCAGCTGACAAATTAGCAGAAATTATGTGATACAGTTATGTCAACATGGGGCAGAATCTAAAAGGAAAGTTTCCAACTTCTTGTGGAACAAAGAACTGATGCTGTTTTGTGAGCAAAGGGAGGCCATACCCTTGTGATTATAAAACTGGGTGAAATAGTTCTTAAAATCAAAACATTATTTGACAATAAGACAGTGCAGTTGCCTTAACCTGCAGTCACAACTTGCACATAAAACAGATTGTTGTCATCGAGGGTCTGTTTAGTATAACTGTGCTGCTTTGGCAGTCATTCCTGCAGAGTGGTGGGAGTGCTGAGTTCTATGACAAGCCCACCATTAGCTTCAAATAATGCATAGACAAATTGATTACGGTTATAGCTTATAATGCTTAATTCTCTTTACCTGTCTGGCACAGGCAGTAAGCGCACAGACAAATATTTTAAGTGTAGCTACTGATTAGTGGGCAGTACTCACCTACACAAACAGTGTGGGCTGGAGTAATATGATTAGAGGAGATAAGTGTGTGCTTTTAGGCATTCCACCCTGGGAGAATGGAGGTTTGCTTTGTCTCGGAAATTGTTAATTTCATTCATGTATTCACAGTCCACTGTAGCGGAGGCAGCAGCTGGTGAACATGTGTGAAGCTGAAGTGAAATGACAGTGAAATGAGTTGCACCCACTCAAGCTCGATGACATTACAGAGCACAGTGTGTATTTTCTGTGGTTAAAAGTAACAGTTGTGAGTGTGCATCACCTGTTCACAAGCCTGTATCTAGCTGCTATTAACAGTTTTAGATAGATTTTCACATTTATTTGGTCATTGGCCCTGTGTTTTTCTCTGTGATGAATCTGTGTTTATGTCTTACTGTTGGGCCTTGGCAGCTTTGATGAGTCTCTAGAGGAACCATTCACCTTGCCCACACCTCCATTCAGCAGCTATAAGTGAGTGGGGCCTTCATGGCCCGCAAGGTCCCTCAGTGCAGTAGTTCTCAACCTTTTGGCTTGTGACCCCTTTAAACAAAAATAACTGATGCAGATTAGTACTTTATAATCAGTAGGCTACGTGCAGTTTCTCAATAGGAATTATTTAGATATTTAGATATGAATTGATTCATTTTCGTTAACACACCCACCTTTTTAACCATTCTTTGACTCCGCCACATCCCAAATAAATTCATTGTGGTGTCCTGTCCCCCAGGGTGAGAACTACTGCCTTAGTGGAGAGCCGTGCTTTCCCAACACTAACCCGAGCAGAGGTGTAATACTGTTCTTTTCTCACGATTTCTCACTGCTACCTCTTTTTAACAGGGCGACGTATGATCTCAAATAGCATCAGAAACCCTGTAACCTCTGTTAGTGGACTGACATGCTACTATTAACACTGATCACTGACTGGAGCTTGTGTGTATCTGGGTCTGTGCATCTGTGGTGAGTGTTTCCTTCCTGATAGAGTAGGGGGTTTCCAAGCAGAAGCACAGCAGAAACACTCCCACTGAATCTCACAGAGATCATCTAACACACAACGTTCTGCATCCGGCACACTCCCCTTACATTACTCTCTCACAGGCACAAACAATATTTCTCTTTTCCCACTAATGCTTAGAATGGCATTAACCAAGTTACCTCCAGGCACAGCCAAACTGGACCTGAGTAACCTGCATGACCTGATCTGGTTTTTCAACATCTGTTCCAGTCAGTCTGTGCATTTCAGTCTCTGTCCGTCTGCCTTTTCCTAATTGTCTGCGTGCTTTCCGCTGCAGGAACAAATCCCAGAAGAGTAAGTTTGACGAGGAGCTGCACAATGAGATGACCACGACCATAGATGAGCTCAGCAGCAAGTAGGTCAATTTTTACAATAAATCAAATCATATTGTTCATAAAATAATGTAACTCGAATAGCATGAAAATCATCATTCAAGGTTCAATCTGCAGTGAATTACTCAGAGCAGAAAAACCTTTGATACAATGTTCTCTAAGGGTTGAAAATTTTAACCATTTCCAAACTTTAATGATAAAGCAGGTAAAGCAGGAAATTTAGACATGGCTATGCAAATGATATCAAGTCAAACTTGACAATTTGGTAGGTCGGTCCACTACTTTGGTCCAGGCTAAAATATCTCAACAACTATGAACATCGATGCTGCCTGAGAATGACTACTAATGACATAGGTGATCCCAACTCAGGATAACTTGTAATACCTTTGGTCCCAACGTTCCCATCAGCCTCAGCTCTACTTTGTGATTATGGGTAGTTAGTAAATGATAGCATGCTATTACATGAAGCTAAGATGGTGAACATGGTAAATATTACATGTGCTAAACATCAGCATGTTAGCATTTAGGCCAAAGCACCACTGTACCAAAGTATAGCCTCACACAGCAGCATTGCTGTAGCATGACTTGTAGTCTTGTTACCATATCATTGCTTAATTACAATACAATACTTTGTTGAATACTGTACCGTACATCGATATCAAGACAAAACTGCAATAATTGATTATTTTCTTTGTAAAATGTTAACCACCTAACCAGCGTGGTATTTGACTCCTCCAGGATGTTACAAAACATGTAGCTTAGCTTATAAGCCTTCATAATGGTCTATTGGTATCTGTACAGTATAATTTATTACCTGTGTGTGTTTATTGATTCACAGCGATCTGCAAGCATCAGGCAGCTACTACTTGTTTATTGACGAACATCACAAGTGCAACAGCTATTTATGTTCTATGTGATGCAGTGCTGATTTACCCTTTAAAACAGTGACACTACAGATGTTAAACTTGTGACAGGTAAAAGGTTTCTTTTTCTCTTTCCTCCTTCCTCCCTTTCCTGATTTCTTTCTCCATCATTTCTTCCTTCCCTCCTTCCTCCCTTCCTCTCTTTCAGGCAGTGGTCTAAGTCTGAAGAGAGTGTCAGATTAGCTTTGTGGTTTCCAAAGAAAGATCTGGAAAAACAGGTTAGTTTGACATAAAGCTGCAAATAGATCACTGAAATTATTTACAGTCCAGACTGCAAGTATGTGGACAGCATTTGGGCACTCTGTGTTAAAGGGATTTATCTCACATACAAACCTACTAAAATTCAATTTAAATGATTTTTGCTGAGACTGAAGAACAAACTTATGTGCAACTGTCCAAATACTTATGGTCTTGCCTGTATATTTATTTCTACATTGTCATACATTTCCATTCAAGCAGAGGTTCAGCTTTGTTCTGTGTTTCTTCCTCTAAGTACCGAGCCCTGGATTTGCCGATGTTCAAATACTATGTTGGCTGTGCCACCCTCATCTTCCTCTGCATATTTTTGGTTCAGATGCTTGTTACAAAGGAGTGAGTATGACCACATTTCCTTGTGTTACTTAAAATCTACTCAAAGATGTTGACGGTTATTATCTTCCAGTGCAACTGGGAAGAATGGGCAGTGTGCATCTTTTTTCTTTGCCCCTGAGTTCTGCGATGTAGCTGACATTGTTTGTCACAGGTCATCTATTATTTCAAAAGCACACTATGAAGATTATAGGTGTACTGCTGGGGAAAGGCTGGTGGAGACTGATGTCTGACATGCACTGGTTTTTATCTCCCTCAGTCGACAGATGTTGGGGAAGTCATTTGGAGTTTTGGTTTGTGTGCTGCTGCTGACCCTGGCCATCTGTTTCGCAGGTCACTTACAGGTCAGTGTGTTAAGTCTTACATTCACGTTCAACATTCAGATGTTTCGGGGATTCAGTTCAGGTGTCAGCTCTTTTCAGGCAGTTTGTCCCGGTTAATATTTGGGTTTGTAAAAAGTGGAAAAAGTAAGCATCACAGTAACAGCAATCCTTTGATACCTCTTCACAGCAACCTGTCACACCATGCTGGATGCAGGTCAGGCATCAGTGTGGAAGGGTTTTCATTTGTCCAGCGGCTTGTGTTAAAGTCCCATATTGTATAACGCAGGCCTGACTCTGACATGCATTACATGTCCATGACTCAAAAGTGTTTTGCTGGAAAGTGGTATTCAATTCATTTAATTTCTTTGGAAAATAAATGGGAAATTCTTTATAGATTATTGTGTCCCTGTAGTGTGAAGGCCACACAAGATGAATGTCATAAAAAGCAGCAAGCCTTCAGGGAAAATTTAGTTTTTCTCACCCTCTGTCCATTGCCTCTTTTAAGCTTACTCCTCATTATTTTGACTGTATTAACCCACAAGTAATGCACAGATGAGGTCTAGATCAGAAGACTGTATGATACAGTCAAAAGCTCCAGAACATCATCTACTGACCTTGTGGTGAGACTGTAGAAATGAGAATGAATTTTGAATCTCAAAATAAATACTGTACATACCTTCTGAGTCATTTCCTGCCTCTTTTTTCAGGCCAGAAACACTGAAACATTCTTCAGAAAAAATGCTGTTGTATATAAACATAAAGTTATCATGTTTAACAATTTCACATCATTAATTGCACACTTGAAATTGTATTTTAACATGCATTTGCATTTTTTACATAATACAGAGTTTAGCCAAGGTTAGGTGTTTGTACAATGTCCTTGTTTTTTGCATTAATAGTGAGAGAAGAACAAAAAATAATCAACAAAATAATGATCTCTTGCAGCCAACCAGAAGAAGTTGACAAACATATTACAGTAGGCAAGTGCTCGATAAATAAAGGCAAGGGTGAAAAGGGTCTGTCTGCATATGTGTTTCACTGTGCCAGGAATTTCTAGAGAGTGAATGGAAACATGTCTTGGAAGCTGTCCCCTGTATTCACAGTGCTGCAGCTTTCTATAGCTAACCCACTGAGTTGGTGGGTGACAGCTGACATTCAGTCCTTGACGGGCAGCGTTTTCTCCTCTCAGACGGATCCCTTCACTGGAAATAACCAAGCACTGAGTCACTCACACATGATGTCTAGAGATGGATGACTGTGTATGAGTCACATGCTCTTCATACCTGTTTGACTCCATCTCTCTCCTCACTTCTCTTTATCATCTGCAGCGGCTATTTCCAGAGAAGCTGTCAAGGTGCCAGTGGCTGCCAGCTGTGTCAGAGGCGGTGGTAAAGCGGCCGTGTGTGCGCCTCCCTCTGGCGACCATCACCACTGCGGTCATCATTATTTTGGCAGTGTTCAACCTGGTAAGACTACACTCACATGTCGAGTGCTAAGAGGGGGTCATTATATACTCTATTTCTAGCTGTGCTACACTTCATAGCCGGCATGCCGAACTTCAAAGCACCCTGTCCAGTGTCTAATTGTCACTCAAATCTTTTTTTATCCCCCTGCAGTGCTTTGTCCCGACAGATGTGACACGAGACATTGCTGACCTTTGTCACGCAAATCATACCCATGAGCAGGGATTAGATGGAGGCCTTTTCTACCTGCCTGTGAGTGATGGATTAGTAACCCTGACCCAAACCATAGACAATAATAAAATGGAAATATCTAATGTATTTTTCATATCAGGCCAGATTAAATAGTATTTGCAAATAATCCTGCTATGTATTTAATAGAATACCAGAGATGACATGATGCCAGGATGGGGGGATTTGTGTGTCACTATCACTTGAGTTTCTGGGTTTTTCTAGACAACAATGTCAAAAAAGGATTGAATGCAAGGACCAAAACATCAGACATTTCATTGCAATGTTTAGTATGTTCAGTGTGTGTGCTGTTAGATTAATGTAGGAGATGACTGGGTGGCTCAAAATAAAACCTGTTAACACAGAATTGCAAAGCAGTTGTTGGGCACAGTTTTGCACTTTAATCTGTATGTCAGTTAACAGCATGCTACCACTCTGGGTACTTTTCCTGTCTATGCAATAATCAAACCCATTGAGCCCGTTTGAGGTGAACTTGAGTTCCTCCTCACTGTGCTGAGGTGTCCCTAGGATATTGTCTGATACTGTGAAAGTTGCTTCTGGTATTTGTCCCAGGTCTAATTCTGTCTCTCCCCTCTTTCTCTCACTCAGTACTCTGTGTACTGTTGTATCCTCTCCCTCATTGCATGTGGAGTCTTCCTGCGGGTGAGCTTTGAGCTCAAAGTGCTCTTCCTCACCCTGGCCTCCACAGCATACTACATCATCATCCTCAGCACCAAGAGGGAACTGTTTGTGGTCTACGGATATTTCCTCTATGCTCAGACCAATAACAGCTGGAACTGCAGCAGGTTGGATTCAATGTAAAAAGAAAATCCTGTTGTAGACTGTCTGGCAGTTTTCTGCTGCTTCTCTTGAAGTCTTAGTCTGTGGTTCTTTTGACCAAGAACATAAGCTCTCAGCATATGCATGCATGCGTATTTCAAACAAAGAAATTATTGAAACACATTGCATTATATTACAACTGTATAATTTAACTGAATCAGAGCAGTTAAATATATATAATAATTAACTGGTGAAATAATAAACAACCAGAACAATGAGGGTGCTAGTGGTTAAAAGTTTCCTTAGAAAGACATGAGTTATTAATTCCCATTTACTGTGAATGATCATGTGTGAAATATGTAACTCAAAGTGAAGTCCAGGCGTAAATGTTCCTGTTTGTTCTACAGCAGAGAAGATGAATCCATCCTGAGATGGATAGGGCTGGTGAAACACCCCCAGGTGATGAGTTGCATATACATCACCTTGTTCCTGGTTACTATGGTCATCATTGCACAACAGGTAATGACACTCTTTGCATCTTCCTCCTTATTTCATTTCTTCAGATTAGAAACATAAAAGGTGTGTAAATGGAACCCACAAATTCACATTCATATAAGAGCCCATCATGACTTTATCTACACCTGCAAGAAATCCAGGAAAATTCAAATTAAAACAGTTTTAAGTTCTGGTTTTCTTTGTTGTCTGCTCTAAACTCACTGTGTTTCTGTCTTACTAGAATGAGTCCTGCTTCCGCCAAGACTTCCTACTAAAGTACAAGAACCACACAGAGCAGGACGAGATCGAGACCAGGGAGAACCTGAACCGCCTTCTGCTAGAGAACGTGCTGCCGGCCCACGTGGCAGCGCTGTTTGTTGGGGAGAATAAAAAGAACGAGGTGAGATGCCACCCACTCTATTTCTTTAATGGCGAATTAACAATACTACAGCCATGACTTGCTTATGCAAAGTTCAGTATGGATCAGTACAGCTTTACATTTTTAACATAGAAAAATGAAGATGTTTCCTGTGATGTTTGGGTGTTTCCAAAATATTGTGTAACTTCTAAGATGAGGAAAAAGTTTCACTAATCTCTGAGAGGACATTTGGCCAGTAGAGCAACAACAGTTTTAAAAAAGATAAGACAGAAAAAAGAAAGAAAATAAGTAGTAGGCACAAGCAGAAGGAATGTTTTGCCCCTCAGTGGAACATGATACTGCACTTATTTATTGTGCCGACTGTTTACTCATGAGGTTATCAGATTATCACTGACAATGACTTGATTGTAAAGGTTAAAATGACACTGGCACACCATACTGGGCATATTTGCAAACAGTGTTTGTCAGAAGCGGCTCTGTGCTTTGATGGCTTCCAGTGTCGTGGTGACTATGTTGAAGCAAATGTCGTTTTACTTGGGTGACACTGGTTGACAGGAATTATCTTGTGTGGGGATTTATGAAAGGTAGTGCTGCATCTTGAGTTTGGTGCAGCATTTGTCTTGAGTTTCCTTTACTATTATGAGCTTAAGAATTCAGCCCGAAACTGTGAGTTGCTGTAGTTACAGGAAGTCTGTCTGAAAATATCACTTATACCTAAAACCTTAAAGCGGAACACTGTCATTCTCCTCCTTGGTAAAACTATTAACTGTTCATTTTATATTTGGGGTTTTTCCCAACAGGACCTCTACTACAAGTCGTATGACTGTGTGTGTGTGATGTTTGCCTCGGTGCCGGATTTCAAAGAGTTTTACACTGAGTGTGATATCAACAAGGAGGGCCTGGAATGCTTGAGGCTGCTCAACGAGATCATCGCCGACTTTGACGAGGTCAGGAAGACAAAGAAGGAAATGCTCTCTGTCAACCTCATCCTTCTCTGTGATACATGACAGCTATGTCTGTTATCAGTAGCTCTGTTTATGTAATTGGTTACCATTGTGCTGAAACAGTATTATTATCTAGCTAAATCCCTGCAGTGTAAATGCCAGCAGGAGCAAGTACTGTAAATGATGAAGTTTCTACATATACACATTGACTTATTTTGTTGTCCTCTAACCCAACAGCTGCTGTCCAAGCCAAAGTTCAGTGGTGTGGAGAAGATCAAGACAATTGGCAGCACTTACATGGCTGCTGCTGGGCTTAGTGGGACGCCTGGTCAGGAGAACAATCAGGTGGAGTAGCTACTGCTTCAGACCTGGGTCAGACCAGGGTCAGATCGGCTCTGTTAAGTGTTTCTCAGCAATCATCAATACAAAAAAAAAAAAAAAACATAACGCAGTCATAATGAGGCAGTGGAATGACATAGCTCTGATTGTGTTCTTCCAGGACATAGAGAGGCAACAGGCCCAGATAGGGAACATGGTGGAGTTTGCCATCGCTCTGATCGGCAAGTTGGACGGCATCAACAGACATTCCTTCAATAGCTTCAGGCTCCGTGTGGGTGAGTGAGCTCTGCTGCCTTTCATTGACTGAACACTGCGATGTATCCCGCTCTGATTGGCCCAACTCAACAATCCAACAGGTTTCTCTGCATGATTGACATTAATGTAACAGTCTTATCAAAGTGAACCCATCTTTATAAGCTGTCACCTTTGACAGAAATCTGTTGTATCAGCTGTGGTTGTTTGTATGCTAAGGAGAAATTACTGTGGTTAACCAGTACATCAAACAATGCATATATATATATATATATATATATAATAAATGTTAAAGTCAAACCAAGAGATAGAGACAGAACCCGTTTGAGAGTGTGTGTGTTGTGTCTGCAGTCCTGACACAGTTATTCCCAGACAGTTGAATCTGAGCAGACAAAAACTTGGATAAAAGTTTTGGTTAAAACATTTACATTTCTTTGGAGATAAAAACTTACATAAGGCATAAACACTGAAACTCAAGCTGAGTGGAATAAACCGTCTTTAACAGATTACTGTCCTTATCAGCAGCTGTGTCTGAACATGTTGTAACTGAAACAAAACACACTACCTTCTGCTCTTGAAATATGTGTTTATTAAAAAAGCAATTAGTGTTTGGCACAGACCTTTTGTACTGAGCAGCCACAACTTTGGTGGCGGGCTCCATCAAATAAAGGGACACACTTTTTATGGTGTTATCATATACTTACGTAATGTGTTCAGTGACATGATTATCTGTGAAACAGATTTCTTCTCACACTTTTATCACTCAAACTTCTTGATAGATGCAGTGAATTGTTACATTTCTTTGCCTGGGTTTTCACAGAGGAATTTGATGTTTGCAGTTTTAAAAATCCCTGATAAAATATTGTCAAACCTTTTTCAACTATTTCAATTTGTCCTTTTGCTGGCTCATGTCCTTGACAAAAAAGATTGCTTTGTAGTAATGAATAATGTTTTTCATTCTGGCTGACATTTTACCTTTTTATGGATCATCTCCACCTCTACTGGGCGAGGTCTGTAGATGGATGAATCTCATTTGTGACCTTGACATGTTGTGTCACTTTCTCTGTAAATTCTCCACATGGACATTACACCATAAATACAGAGTTAAATTTTGGGTGGTGCACTCTTGTTTGTTCTTCCACAGGCATTAATCATGGCCCAGTGATAGCTGGAGTGATCGGGGCGAGGAAGCCTCAGTATGACATCTGGGGCAACACGGTCAATGTAGCCAGCAGGATGGAGAGCACCGGGGAGCTCGGAAAGATCCAGGTACATTCAGCACAGTCCAACAAAGGCAGACAGCAGTGTTTCATATGGTGTTCTTAAAGGTCAAACAGCAATAGGTCACTTCTCACATAGTTGCAGCTTCTTAGCTTTCTATTACAAATCTCAACACAATCATGGCTGGATTTACAAAGATCCAATTTCTGACTTTGGCCCAGATTTGATTTTTTTTAATCGATCCATCTCAACAGCAACAAAAAAAACTCCCCATCCTCAGCCAGTCATAAGAACCTCTCATGAGATGAACATTTTATTTACCTTTTCCCTGAAACTGCACTTTGTGCACTGGTGTGTCCCCTTTACTTGTGAATTCAAAGCAATTCATGCTTTAACTTGAGAAACTACTTGAATTACTTTGCCTCTGCTATTGGCTGTCATCTAATACTACCATAGCTGCAGTGTAATGCTGTCATAATGAAGTTGGAAATTGATACATGCATTCATTAAGAAAATTCAGGTGTTATTTGGGACCATATAATTTCATTTGAGTTTTATGATGAAGTCTGTAACTATTAAGAAAAAAGTTATAAATTAGCTGTTTAAATTGGACTTTTCTTAGCTGTATTTGCGCATAATTTTTTTGTGACTACTTCCAGGTAACAGAGGAAACGTCCGCCGTGCTACAGAAGCTGGGATACTCGTGCGAGTGTCGAGGATTTATCAATGTCAAGGGGAAAGGGGAGCTAAAAACCTTCTTTGTGTGTACCGACATGAGCAAGCAGCAAGGTATGGGGCTGAGCTGAGGCTGGGCCTCCACAGTCAACAGAACTGGAGATAGGCTCATGCTCGAGTCAGAGTTTACAAGCTCCTGCACACAAGTGTTGAGACAGATGTGACTGTAATACAGCTATGTTCCAGTGACGTTGCTGAATGAAAATACTGAGGAGTATTATGGACTGCCGCCACGCTGTGTGGTGGATGTGACATTGAACTCTCTGCTTGGGACCCTTTTTGTCAGATCAGGATGTGGCGGTCATGATGGAGAGATGGTCAGTACGAACAATCACCATCTTTTTCTATTCACAAACACATTCACATCCAATGATCAGTCACTTTTGTACCTTTTTTTCTGTCTTTAACTTAGATGTTGTTTGTGAAAGAAAAGATGTATATTGTACTAATGCCAAATACAGTTATGTATTTTTGAAGACCTGTTTGGTCCTATGAAAACAAAACAATGGATTCTGTTTGGATCATAATGTGAAACCTATCTAGTTTTCCTGTTTTAGAAGGGATGGACACTCTGCTCTGTTACTGTGTAATGAGCAAGATATATGTGAGGCGGTTGGACAGAGCTGTTTCAATGTCAGGAACAGGCTGTACAGTAGATATAGAAAAGCTATTTTCTTTCTTCTTTCTGCAAGACATATTCAGACAACAAAAAGTAAGTTTCACTTTCTGGCCAAGCTACAAATCCTAAAATTAATGTATCCTCAGCACCTTTGATTGCGACATAAGTTTAGGTTTAACAACTCTTTACGTGAAGCTCTTTTAGGTTCCAGCTGTGCAGTTTGGCCCAAGTAATATATACGACAAGATATTTGCTGTGTTTCAAGAGGAGGAAGACAAATCTGTGTGCTGTATGTATGCCATCTGTTAAATGTTTATTCTGCTCAGATAAGAAAACAGTTTTCAGTGTCTTTAGCTGCCTGTCTGCAAATATGCTGCAATGCGGGAAACCTATGACACTCTCCTCGGTGTCCTCAGTCTGTGTGATCCAACTATCTGCCTGCTGTGAATGTTTTTTCTGGCTCCAGCTCAGATGTGATCATCTGACCCGATCTGGATCGCTCTCTGTGCCTCTGAAAACTTAATTTGTCTCGTGGCCTTACCTTTTGAGACCACCAACTTGTCTGTAATTGTGGTTACATAATAATAATGTATTGGCCTTTGTGTGAACAAATGTGATATTGAATTTTGTACAGCTACAGAATGTAATAAATGTTTTCCTAAGTCTGTGGTTTGTTGTGTAGTGCTTCACAAGAGCCAAGGTTTCTATATATAAAAAAAAATGGTTTATTGATTGAAATGCATACAAATGTCACACAAAAGTTTGTACAAAACTTAAATTACTAAACTGAATGAGGGTGGTTGAAATGTCATTTTACAGCGACAACCGGAACTGCATCTTGACAAGTGGACAAGGCCTCCATTGGTTCAGCCATCTCCTGCACTGAAAACATTGACAAATATATTAGGTGCTATGTCGTAGCTGAAATGCACAGTATTTGTAAGGTTAAATTAGGCAGTCAGGGATGTTAAAATATTTAAATTAAAAACTGCATATCCCACAGGTTACATGTTTGCAGAAGAGAAGCTTGTTTGTACCAGGTTGTATCAGGTGTTTTACCTGTAGTGAGGTCTATGAAGGGCTCAGGGGGTTCTGGAGGTACAGCGATGCCCATGGCCTTCCTAATGCCGTAGATGCTGCTGACATCACACGGCGCCACTTGGCCAGTCAGCTCGGCCAGGTTCCCAGTCACCTTCTCAGCTGTGAAGGCAAGAAAAGGAACATTATGAAGACAGCAGGAAATGAGATAAAGCTTTGTGTAATTTTTATTTTGAGAAGAGGTTATCCAAGATAATCTCATTTTAGCTGTTTTTTTTTTTTTTGCTATTGATTCAACCGATAGCCAGAATATTCTTCCACCGGAAGTTCTGTCATGTTAAAAGAATAGTCCAACATTTGCTGAATGTGCTTATTAGTTTTAGACAAGAAGGTTGATATCTGTATGCTAAATATGTAGCTAGAACTAGCAACCTGTTAGCTTAGCATAAAGAGTGAAAAGGGGGGAAAAGCTACCCTGGCTCTGTCCAAAATCCACCTAGCAGCATCTCTAAAGCTCACAAGTTAGCATGTTGTATCTTTGTTTATTCTGTACAAAAATGAAGTGTAGTTTGAGCAGCATTAGCCAGCTTAGCCAAAGTAAACTCTAAGCACAGGTCAAAACAGTAGTACAAATATTCAACACCCAGAAATTGAAAACACAAAACTGCCATTTCAACCATGACATCACTGGGAACGAGGTCAATGTCACTGTCTAAAAGACAAACCACATCTGTGCAGGATGGCCATTAAAAACGTGAAAGTGTTGTTAGAGGTCTGCAGCTGAAGGTGAGGAAGGTGCCTGCACTGAGAGGCTCTTACCCAGCTCCAGCTCCTTGGCAGTCGGGGCCAGCAAGCAGATCATGTTCGGAGGCTGCTTGGCACTCAGACGCTCCTTCTGTGCTTCCTGCAAGTTGCGCAGCAGCTTTGTAGTCTCATCCAGTTTCCGCTGGAAGTGCAGGGCCTCTGTGACAGATAGGGGAGGTGGGTGACAGACGGACAACACACCGACACATACACAGTTAACACCTCCTCTGCGTTCCTCCAGTTACCTTGTGCTAACTTCTGCTGTTCTTGGTTACACACATCCACGACAATAAAGCCATTCTTTCTGAGCCCTGGTGATGGACCCCTCAGTCTTACAGTTACATTTATACCTGAGAATGCTGAGCCATCCAGCTGCTTCAGATGGGGGTTGTTTTTGTTTGTTTGTTTTGAATTAGCTAAGTGGCAGCAGAAATTTCTTTGTTCCCATAATCCTTTCATGCACAGAGAAAGCAGTCAGGGCTGACCAGATGTGGGAAGATCATATCTGTGATCTTCCATGACAGTGGGCTGTTATGTGACAGGTTTATACTTTAGTTTACATAAAACTGCAATGTGAAATTACTTTGATGTGCAATGTAAATGAAGGTGAAATTTTTTTTTAAATTACATTAAGTGAATCAAAAGAAAATAAAGCTGGTACAATTTTGATAATTCGAAAAGCAACACTCTGTTTCCAGCTTCTTTAAAGTGAGGATTTGCTGTTTTTCTCTGTTTTACATCTGAAAATGTGGTCGGACAAAAGAAAAGCAATCTGAGGCTGTCACCAGAATTTTTCATTATTTTCTGACATTTTATAGACTACACAGTTTCAAGTCCGTCTTAACCACATATGGACCACATGCCCATATGGTTTTGAAAGCTCTACAGTGTTAAAGTTGTAACTGTTCCTCCTGTCCACACGAGCTTTGAAGTGATCTCTTACTGATGCCACTCCAATGTTAGAGCTCAGTCAGTGTAAAAGACGCTCAGCAAGAAAACACTATTTGTGGGGACAAAAGGGAGAATTCTGTGCTACAGAGAAAAAGACACTCACTCATTTTGACAAAGTCACATTGCTGAAGCTTCGTATTAGTTTCAGCTGAACTTTTGACATTTTGAAACAGAATATGTGAAATTTTTTTTCAGGGTTCATATGGACAGGGGGATCACACAATGTGGCGGCATGTGTGTGTTATATTACATTAGACTTAAAAAATTGTGAACCTATCTTAAAATGAAAAAAACTAATAAATACATTAACTGCATGTAATTATTAACTGCATCCCTAAATTTAAAAAAACTATGTGTCAGAAGTTTTACCTCCAGAGAGCTCCTCAGCCATCTGCAGGCCTGCAGCTGAGCACAGGGAGTTGAGCCTGCTGCACTTAGATGCTTCAGGTTCAGCTACCTACAAGAGATGGAGGGGAAACAACATGTTTAGTCAGAGTAGAAAAATGCATTTCTCATTGGACAGCTGACGCTTCAAGGGAACATCCAGGACCTTTGAAGCCTCTTTAGACACGCTGCGACTTTGCGCCAATAAAATTAAATCTGATGAAAAGCTGCAACACCCGAGCAGGGGATGAGAATAAACTGGAGAGCGGCCAAGAACAGCAAACAGCCAGGACAGAGGGTTGCTGTGTGCCTGACGGAGGGGCCTGTGCTCTGGTTTCCTCCGCTGCTCTGAGGAGCGATTCAGCCGCGCCTGCCAGCGGGCACTGAAAGAAAACATGGGCCTCTCCAAATTCTCCACCAGCGGGCCTTTAGCGAACAGCACCGCTGTGTTTGGAGGGGAAATGTTCTTTCCATGCGTGGATGGATCAAAGCTAAACGCAGGCCCCTGCTATGTTGACACAGCTGGTTGATGCAGCAGCCATCTGCAAGCGCCATCTATACTGACAAAATGAAATTAAGCATCCACACATGAGGTGTTATGCAAGAACGTGCTTTACAGTGAAACAACGCACAGTGGGAACTGCTCCTCCAAACATCACATCAAACACTGATGAGGCCGAATGGCTCCAGTTCTATGTTTTATAGCACACGCTGAAATTTCTCATTATAAACTCGATATCCATTTCCATTCGTAATGTGCAGTGGGGGAGGGCTGCTTATCACTGGGGACACAACAGGTGTTCAATCTGAAATCCAGCTCCAGATCGACTCCAGTGTCTTACCTCATTGTCCCCCTTGTCCTCTTGTGTATTTGCTGGCTCATCCACATGCTGGAGAGGCAGAAAAGACAGAAAAAGCATAACTGATTCAGTAAACTGAGATTTGATCCAGAGCTGTTAAAGTCAGTAGTAAATGGATCAGTTCAGATATCACAGTAACTGCTTACTGCCTCTGTCTCCTTCAGGGTTTTTGAATGCTCTCCGTTCGTCATTGCATCCAGGAGATTGTCTGCCAGCTTGTACACGTACTCGTCTGATTTGGCCAGAAAGTCTGACAAGCTGCTAAACACACACACACACACACACACACACACACACACACACACACACACACACACACACACACACACACACACACACACACACACACGCAGCAGCAACAAGGTTAAAATCAGAATCACTTTGTTGGCCAAGCATAATGAGAAGTTGCTATTGACTCTGCTGACACTTATTGCAACTGAACCTCCTACACACTCTAAGAAAGAAAAATATGCTTCTGACAATAATTACATATTTTCATACATGAAAACAAAGTGACAGTGTGATTTTCTATGAAGAGAAATAAAAGACTGAGCAGACGACACAAGAGACAATGACCAAGCAGTAACAGTTCCTGTCACAGTGATTCAACACACACAATGAAAAACAAACTCATACACAGCAGCATGTCTTATCTTATGAGGCACGTTAGTTGACAACCTCACACAAAAAAAGCGGAATAGTCTTCTGTTCTTCTGTCACATGTCCCCTGCTACTTTTACACTAGCAAGCTCAAAAAAGTGCTACCAGATTTAGCCAGTTAGGATCTGTTAGCTCGAGCAACGACAATGTCAATGGTAATTCTGAAAGCTACCTAGCTAGTTTACCAGCTAGCTAGACAGCATGTGCAGCTTTGTTACGCTACATAAATAAAGGATGTTACGTTCTGTGTCTGTGTTTATTTACAGCAGTTTCATAACTGATTCAGGATTAATTTGACCTTATAGCTCAAGCTAACAGGTGCTAACTGGCTACATCTGGTAGCGGTTTTTGAGGGCATTTTGAAATAAAAAATGTCTTACCAAAAAAATAAAAAATATATATAAGAAGTCCTATAAAACACCTATAATGAAATAAAGGACAAAATTAAATTTTACACCAATGATTTGATTTTTAACATTTTCTTAAACGATTCATTTCATGCAATTCATTCATGTGATTATTTCCTAGTTATTCACTTTTTTATTTAATGTGGATCACTTTGCATCTCCATAGACATAAAGTGCAAGCCAATGGTACAGTGAGTGCCCTGCAGCACAGAAAACCATGAGATAACTGACAGAAAGAAGCTTTTTTTAAAGTTTAAGAACTGAAGTCAGGTTGAGGCCCAGTCTACAGCTGACAGCTGCTCCAGACTCAGTAAACTCAGTGAAAACATCTGCGAGGTAATCAGCCAGGAATGCCTCAAGTGACGTTTTGTGTAAATGCCACTGAGCTCGAGTGTGTTTTTGGTCATACTGTACATACCTGTCTGAACCCTGCAGACTGGACTCCTCTCCATAGAAAGAATAGATAAGGTCAGAGTCCTCCTTGCTGATGTTAGCGAAGCTTGAGTCGTAGGTGGGTGCGTAGGAGGTGAAGGGTCCATAGTTCATGTAGGAC